GTCCTGGGGGCTTCGTTGTGTAAACACTGCCTCACCCACCCCCTTCAGCTGGAGGCGGCAGGTGCAGGCTCCCAGCAGCTGCCAGTTGGATGGACCTTTGCAGCAAGGCTGGGATTCTCTGAGGACTGCGAAGTGCTGGCACTCCTGGGAGGGGCATTTCTGGTGGAGCCTCCGGGCTGTGACTGTCCCAGGGTTGTTGGCAGAAGACCAGATCTGCCATCCCATATGAGGGACCAGGCCCCAGTGAGTCTCCCCAGAGCTGTTCAGGTCATGAGGGCTGGGTAGAGCCACACAGAGCACCAGCATGCTGGTCACTGAGGGGCCAGGTTGGGGGAGAGGGAAGGGGGAAAAGGAAGGCTGGGAGGTGGAGTCATGGTGGCAGTGGTCCTGGGCACTGCCAAGCCAAGCTGCCAGCATCCCCTTCACTTGGCAGGGACTAGGGAGGATGGATCCCACCAGCCATCACGGAGGGAAGGGATGAGACTGAGACCCTTATATGGGTGCAGATGCAGCTAGGTCTGTGCTGCAGGGCCAACCCGGGGACTGGGAACAGCTCCAGCCTCAAAGGGACTGAGGAGCACTGGACTAGCTGGGGGGTTAGAATCAGGTGGGAGGGTATTGCCAGGGAACTGGGGCAGAAGCAGGTGCTGGGGGCTGGAGCGTGGGACCCAGCTGAGCTTAGGGGAGGGCTGTGAGGCCGGGACTAAGGGAGACATGGGACTGTGATAAAGGCCTGGTGGTTTTGCAAGCTGAGGGTGGCAGGGCCCAACAAATGGAGATGTTCCTCTGGGTGGCTTTGTGCCGCTCCCCCAGCCACGCACCAGCTTCATGGAGTGGCAGCACCAAAGCCCAGGCTGCAGGCGGAGACGGCGGCGGGTCCCTTGGCTGGCTCCCAGGCCTGTCTGTCGTGTCTCCCGGGCTGGGTTGCAGTGCGGTGGGGGAGGGGGCAGCAGCTGGCAGGGTTGGAGCAGCATAGGCGCTTTGACTGGTGAGATAAGCAGAGTCAGTGGTAATTAACCCCTGGGTTTGAAGCATGAACAGGCATTAGCCCAGGGGTTAATGAGCTCATTTTCCTGTCACTTCCTGCTGCTTCCCATCCCCCCTTCCCCATGCACCCGCCGACAGGCAGGGCCCAGGACCTGGAAGCCAGGGCTGGGTGGAGCCTGTGAGCCCCAGGGAGGCACAGTGGGATGAGGCTGCTCCCCCGCGGGTCGGCTAGTGCCAGCTAGCCAACTAGCATGGTGCTTAAGTGCCCTGGAGACCTCCTCTTCAGCCCCCCCCTCCCAGCCCAGCTCTTGGCACTGCTGCTGGCTGCTCCTGGGCCCTCAGGGCTGGCTGTAATGGGCCAGCTGAGCTTTGCCGTGCTGTGGGGAGGGGTGATTCCAGCCACACAAATTCCCCTGCCCGTGTGTGTGCAGGGGACGGATTCCTCCAGAGTGAAAACATGCCCCAGACTCACTGCCTGGCCCCCCTTCGGTGCCCACAGTCCCTGGCACTCTGCTGCTCCCCATCCCTCACCTTTGCAGCCCCCTCAGAGAAGCCTGAACTCATCCCTCCGACACAGGGGTTGCCCCCCACACCATGCTCCCCTTGGGGCAACTGTGGCCCTCAGGTCATGAGCTAGGCCTTGGCATCACAGCTGCTAAGTAGCTGTGAGGCTGCAGCTTGGTGCCTGCCCCAGGGCAGTGCTGGTATTAGGCTGGCTGGGGGTTCCCCCTGCATTGGTTCCCTTGGGTGCCTGGTGGACAGATTGGCTGTGGCTTCAGGAGGGGTCCTGGGTGGCCTTGTGTTTCTGTGCTCCTGGGAGGGGGGTGGCTGCACGGCATATCACATGGGAACCTCCTGCTCAGTCCAGACCTTGCTGGCTTGTGCAGATCTGTGTCTCCTGGGGAGCCGGGGCAGTGGGTCCTAGGCTGAATTCCAGCTCCCCACCCCCCATTGTGCCCCTCCAAGTCTTTGGGGCTGGAGTCGCAGGGAGACAGGGTGGGAAAACATCACTGATTCCCTCAAGGAGGCAGCACACAGGGCACTGTGGTTTCAGAGACAATGGGAAATGACTGTTTCCAGGGAGGGAGAGAAGCTCTGTGAGCATGGCTGCTTGTGCCAGAGCAGATGCTGGGGCTGGGGCTGGGGTGGGAAGGAGAGGCCTGGGTATGGGAACCCCATCGTGGGGAGGTGGTGACAAGGCTCCTTGGTGACCACATGGCATCTGTGGGAGCTGGGAGGAATGGGACCAGAATGGGTCAAGTCCTGTGTTCTGGCCATGCATCAGGGAGGGCTGAAGGAAAGGGCTGGGGTGGGATGCAGGGCCTGGTATTCCCACACATTGGGCAAGGTGTAGGGAATGGCCCCTGGCTGAACAGATGCAGGCTGGCTCTAGGGCTCTGGGTGTGAGAGATGGATGGGGTGCTGGTTCTGGTGAGGCCCCAGCTCAGGGAGTGAGGGCCAGGGTCTGTTATCAGGGAGGTCACAGTGACAGCCTGGTCAGTGCTTGGGGGCTGCGGTGATGTGAGCTGGATGGTGTCAGCTGCTTTCCAGCCATGGATGCTGTCACCACAACACCAGTACCCATTAGCCCTGCCCAGGGAGCTTGGACCAGAGGCTGTTTGGTCTCGGGCTGCAGCACCGTGATAGAGCAGCACATGAGGGGATCCTGTCCTGCCTCTGCCTGGGCCAGACCTGCCCTCAGTGATGGGGGCTGCCCAGTCTATGCCTTTTAGTGGCACTAAGTGCATTTCCCTGAGCTGCCCTGGGAGATGTGCCAGGAGAAGTGCTCACAAGGTGGGTGGCAGGTGGGAGGGAGTGTTGCTGCCCTTCCCTCCCTTGGGCTGCTCAGCCAGGTGCCTCTCTGGAAACCCCAACAGTCTCTGTCCACAGTGGGGATGGCCATTCTGCACTGAAGCCATGGGCCATGTGGAGATGGCGCTGTGGTCTTTATAGAGCTGGTGAGGTGAGGATCTATTGGTGCTGATGGCAGCTGGTACATCCTTGGCACTGCACACAGCCCTGCCAGTGATGGGCAGCCTGCCCCGTGTTCCCCACCTTGGCTCCCCAGACAGCTCTGCTGTTGCTGGTTGAGCCCAGCCCACAGGTCCTGCCCTGGCCCCTGCCAGCTCCAGCCTGCTGTGCTCAGGTTGACCCAGCCAGGCCAAGCGAGCTGCCCTTGTTACAACTATGCCTGCGGAGCCTCCAGCATGGGGAGCAGGAGCCTCATTAGCCGAGGAGGCATTCCCAGTCCTGCCAGAAAGCCCCATGTGTGCTGGGGAGGGCAGCAGGGAGGAGCCATTGTGGAACTGGTATTTCCTGCATCAGGGGCCCGGCGCAGAGTTCAGCTTGGGTGAACACTGACTCCTGTCAAGTTCCAGCCAGGCCTTGGCTTGCAGGTGGCACCGCCCAGTGGCCACTCCAGCAAACAGCAGTGGTGCATCTGGCGCAGGCCTGCTGGGGGAGTCTGAGATGGAAAAGGTCCATTGGGTCCTTCAGCCGGTTTCCCCCAGACCAGGGCAGATCACGGCTCCCAGCCAGGCGCCCAAACCACATGGGTCCCTGCTGAAGGTAGTGGGTGGAGTTTGCAGCCCAGGCATCTCTTCTGTACTGAACCTGCCGTCAGGGAGATGGCAGCTGAGCTTGTCCCTGTCTCGTGGGTAAGCAGCCAGGCAGTGTCTGCCCTGCCTTGGCTGCATACTGTATTCTCTGTGGATAACAAAGGCTTTAACCCCTGCTCCACCCCTTTGCATTCCCTTGCAGGAGGGCTAACAGGTGCCTGTGCAGACCCAGCAGCCTGGGATGTGGAAATGGGACTGGGTTTTGGGGACTGGCCGCTGGGGTCTGTGCTTCTGTGTCCATGTGCACATCTGGGTTCCCACAGTGACCAGAAAGGGGGACCTAAGGCAGGAGCCCTGGTCTGGGAGGGCAAAGCTGGTAGCTCCCCACTGCAAGCCGTGTCCTGAGCCTCTCGTTCTGCTCTTCTCCCCCCTGCAGGTGACAACTGCGAAGTGGACAGTCGCTCGGGGCACTGCATCCCGGGTGTGTGCCGCAATGGAGGTACCTGCACCAACTCTGCTGATGGCGGCTTCCAGTGCCAGTGCCCCTCAGGGGGCTTCGAGAAGCCCTACTGTGAGGTGACCACCCGTGCCTTCCCGCCCAAGTCCTTCGTCATGTTCCGGGGGCTGCGCCAGAGGTTCCACCTCACCCTGTCCCTCTCGTAAGTCCCGTGGGGTCTCTGCCCAGCAGTGCTGTGCTGGGAGGAGTGGGGAAGTTAGCAGAGCTGCTGGCTTGGGGGCTTGCCAATGCACTCACCTGACCATGGGTGCACCCAGCCCTGTCCAAGCACCAGGCACACTGGGGTCAGCTCAGGCCAAGCTTTTTGTGATGTATCCAGGACTACCCACATGGTGGCCACCCCCCTGCCAAGGGCTCCCCAAGTGGCCAGGGCCACTCCTGCCATGAACTGCTGAAGGTCCTGGAATCCACCTGGGCAAAGCCCCACTGAAGTGCTGCAGCTCTGTGGGGGGGATGGGGGACAGGGATTCTGACAGTCCACCCCCACCTCCCCGTGCTCTGTGCATCCTTTGCTTCTGTAGCTCCACCTGCAGGTGTTGCTGGTGCTCCAGGCCTGCCTCGCTCCTGGAGGTGCTCTGGGAGTTAGGGCCATGCGCCCCACTTGATGGGAATGCTGAGCCCCTCTGAGCAGGGATTGCATCCCCCTAGGAACCGGCCCATCCAGTTCTTCCTGCGCTGCATTTTTATGGGGATGACACTGGCCTCTAGTGGCTGCTTCCTGCAAAGCACAGGTGGAAGGTCCTGTCCCCGGGGAGCTCTTGCCGGGCCCTGACTTCTGCTCAGAGTTGGAGGGGACTGGAGAGGTCACGGCCCTGAGGGGGACCTGGCCCCCAGCACTTGGATGATGTGTCCTCTGCTCCACATGCCAGGTTTGCCACCCAGGAGCGCAGCGGCCTTCTGCTCTACAATGGGCGCCTGAATGAGAAGCATGACTTCCTGGCGGTGGAGATCATCGATGGGCAGGTGCAGCTGAAATACTCCACAGGTGTGTGCAGCCTGCTGCCAGGGCCTCTTCACATGTCTGCCTGCCAGTGAGAGGCAGGGCATGTGCCTCTCCAGCACAGGATGGCAGGAGGGTGTGTGGGTGGTGAGTGCACAGTTGTGTCGTGGCTATCAGTGTTGGCTGGAGCAGGGTGTGCAGAGGCGTAGGAGTGTGCGCATATGCATAGGACTCTGTGTAAGTGGGAGTGTGAATGGGGGTGTGACCCTGTGTGTGTGTGTACACATATGCTCAGATCCATAGGTGCACTGAAGCTAAAAATCACTTAATTTCTGGCTTGATCAAAACCCAAGGGAACATTAAAGCCCCTTTTTACTGCTGTTGCTATCAGGCTGAAGGACTCAGCTCTCAGCTTCATCGTGTGAAGGCAGGGAGCCAGCTCTGTCTTGGAGCTTATGTCCAACTGATAACATATAAAATGCAACCTTTTCGTCCTGGTAGATGCCAGCCTGGTGCAGTGTGCGCCAGAACAACCCCTCCCCCCTGGGGCCTCCATGGGATTTCATCAGATGCAATAAAACATGTTGCAAGAAACTCAAGTCCTGAAAAAGCAATCAGCTTAAATAGAAGTCAGGGCTGAGATGCCCTGCACCTCTAGTGGTTGTAACAGTGACTATGGAGCAGGGACATTGCTGTCCTGAGCAGCAGTGACAGCACAGCAGCTACAGTTACTTAGGGGTTAGTGGAAGAAAAATGTTCAGGTGCTTTTCTGGGACAGGTAGAGAATGGTGGAGACTGTGTGGATGGGAGAGTCTGTTGTTGGAGGTCAGTGGGGCTGTTGGGCTGCTCGTCTGCTCTGCATCACTGTGTCGAGGCTACTCAGGGGTATCTTTGCCATGGATCTGACCAGGATTATTGCCTGAGAGATCAGGGCAGCTTCCTTTTTGGGACATTGCTACTTACTTGGGGGCAGCATTGCTTTGCCCAGTCCTGTTAAGGTGCTCCCTGCAGGGCTGAGCCCAGGATGCTCGGTGTGCTGAGAATTTCTTACTTCACCCCCTCACCTCCCACCTGTCCTCCCACTGGGACTCACTCACGGCCTTAGCACCTGAGGCCTGCACATTCCCCACTGAAAAACACTTGGATGAGGATTAAGAATGCCCCTTCTGGCCGATGTTCTGCCCATCCTTTGACTCTTCCTGGGGGTAGCTTAGTGGGACGAAGGCCAGTGGCGAGAGGGTTGGAAGGAAGATTCAGGTAAAGGGAGAATTCTTTGCTGAGGCTCCTGCCAGAGAGACACCAAAACAAATAACTGGGTGTGTCTACACATGCCGTGCTTTAGTAGTTCCTTTTGGAAGGAAGTACTAAAGAAAGTACTAATGCATGGCGCAGTATAGGTGGTTACTGCACCGTGCATGTGGCACATGGGTAAATTTCACTGCTACATTACTGTAGTGGCATGCTAAACCCAGGGAGCACACTGCTATGGCGACATAGCTGGTGATCATGTGTAGATGCACGTGATTGCTACGTCACCGTAGAGTGTCATACAGCAATGTAGTGTGTTGCTACATCACCATAGGGCAACGTGTAGATGTGCCCACTATGAGCCAAAGAGCTGGGCCAGACCCTGCAACCAGAGAGACAGCTGCTCGGCCTCTCAGGCACTGATACACTCCAAGACATTTGTGCATCTCAGCTGCCGCCTAGGAGGGGCATTGGCAGCATTCAGCAAACACCTTGAACATAACCTCCAAGAGGGAAGCATCAGAGAAGCTCGTTGAAGAGCCATGGGAATGACTGGACACAGGCCTCAGAGGAGCACCAGCCACGTAGCTTATCCCGGGGGTGTTAAGGTGCAACTGGGGCATTCTCTGGAAGAAATAAGAATTTGGGAAGAGTTCCTCATACTGAGACTTGGTGAGATCTGGTGCCTGGAAGCTGCAGGTAGAAGCATTTAAGCTGTACTGGTTTGTAACAGCAGAGGTGTCATATCCATTAGACCAGTTTGAGCTGGGGAGGATTCTCCACTTGTGGCAGTTCCTAAGCTGGTGCTTCCCGAACTTTTCCTCAGCATGACCCCATTTCCTCAGCATGGCCCCTCAACACAACTCACAGCCTCCCACAACCCCAGGTGCCCCTCACTCCCTGCCTACTGGCCCTGCCAGTGCCCCTCACTCCCAATCTACAGCCCCCACTCTCATCAGGTGCCCCAGGGCCTGCAGCTCCTTGCCTCCACACCCCAGCAGTGCCTGAGCCCTGGCCCAGCTTCTCCCCGCCATCCCCATCCCCAACCCCCCAGTCCTGTCTCTTTCCCCACCAGCTGTACAGCCAGAGCAGAGCCCATGGTTGCCCGCTATGGGCTTGGGGCTCCCTGCCCTGCTGACGTTCCTCTGGGCCTCTGCAGCCCAGCAGGTGGGACCTGGTGTGGGAGAGATCACCATGCCATAGCCCCATCCGCTGATGTTGCCTCCCCATTTGGGGTTGCAACCCACAGCTTGGGAACTGCTGTTCTAAATGTGTCGATGTACAGGTCCCTGCCCTGGGCTGGGCACTGAATGTGTTTCTAAATGACCCACCTTGGTTTGACTGTGGATTTGTTCCAGGCAGTGCTACGGCCTGCGCTGTGCTGGAGTCAGAAACAACAAGCCTCTTAAAATATACGAACCTCTAAATCTCTGCTGGGGTGTGTGCGTGTGCACGTGTGTGCTACACGTGTCACAGCACACATGCCACCACTGGTGCACACATGCATGTGGAGGGACAGTGAAGGAGGTTACAGGGAGGCATTGTGCCTTGTTCACTGACTGCACAGAGCCCACCCACGATACCACACCTCTTTTAGCAGTGTCTAACCATGTGGTTCTTCGCAGGGGAGTCCAGCACCTTGGTGGCCCCGTATGTTCCAGGGGGTGTGAGCGATGGGCAGTGGCACACGGTGCAGCTTCGTTACTACAACAAGGTATGTGCCCCCTTTAAGTTACCCTGTTCAGCTGCAGTCCTGGCATTGGGGCTTTCCCCAAAGCTGCATTTTGGGAGAGCCAAGCAGCACAGAGGAGCCAGAGGTTTTGTACAGGTGGCCGGCACTTCTCTGGGGTGCCCTTGGCCATCTGACGTGCTGAGTCCAGTTGACGTGAGGCTGCTCTGATTCTCCCACCTAACATACCTGCCTTCTCTCCATTTGGGTCCCTCCGAGAGGCTCAAGCACAGGGAAGGCAATCCAAGGCAGAGGTCTTGGGTGGAGCAGGGACATCCTGCCTAGCTTCCTGGGGTGCAGCTCATAGGCATCTTCCCTGTATGTCTCTGGAGAGCATGGTCCATCTCATTCCCTTTCCTGGGGCAGGGCCCTTGCACTACGCATGGCACTGAGAAAGGATACCAAAGTGACTGGCTGGCACTGGCAGCATTGTCATCCATTCTAGTGGTCCATGGTGGGGAGGACTGAGTTATGGCCAGGTTGTGCAGCACTGTGCAGTCATTCCTCACCTGAGAAAGGCTGGGGTGTGTGTGTGTGTGTGTGTGGGGGGGGTCCCTGTGAGCACACAGGGGGAAAGGGCTTCCAGAAAGCCCTTCCTCATGTGTGAGTGGACATCCTGCTCACCCTCAGAGCCGTTGTGGGCACTGTGCCTGGGCTGCATCACCTTGGCTGAGGGCTGATGCTGTGGCTCTTGGTTTCAGCCCAAGCTTGGCTCGCTGGGCGTGGTGCAAGGCCCTTCCAAGGACAAGGTGGCCATCCTGACGGTGGATGAGTGTGACACGTCGGTGGCATTGCAGTTTGGCAGTGAGATTGGAAACTATTCCTGTGCGGCGGAGGGGGTGCAGACCAGCTCCAAGAAGTGAGTGTGCTGAGGACTGGCTCTTCTCCCTAGAGAGGAGAAGGGAGAGCAGGGGAGGGGCTGGGGGGGTGACACTCAATTGAAGGGAGCTGTAAACTCACCAAGCTCCAGCTGGAAGGAGCTACTGAGAGCACAGAAGATACCTGCTCATGTGGGTGGTGCCAGGGATGGAGGTGCCAGGGACCCAGATGTGCCCTTCAGTGCTGGCTGTCTCGGTTTTGTCCCCATGCCACATGCCTAGCTGGGAGGAAAGTGTAAAGGGGGCTGTGCTTTGTGTCCCTGTGATGGTGCTTGATGGATGACCCAGAACCTGAGCATGGCACTACTACCACCCCCGCCACCTCGCAGTGCACCTCTGCTGTCACACCCATCTCCAGCATACAGCAACCGGCTAGCTGATGCCCTGAGGGAGCCTGACCTACACAGCATGACCAAATTCTCCCTCCTCACAGACTCTCTCTTCTGGCAGGTCCCTGGACCTAACGGGACCCCTGCTCCTTGGAGGGGTGCCCAATCTGCCTGAAAACTTCCCTGTGACACACAGAGACTTTGTGGGGTGCATGAGAGACCTGTACATCGACAGCAGACGTGTTGACCTGGCTTCCTACATTGCAAACAATGGAACATCTACAGGTAGTGTGGGAGTGCAGCACTTCGGGTCTCAAGCAGGACCTCAGGGGACCATGCACTTTCCCTCTCTCCAGGTGAAAGGGGCTGGCCTGGCAGCCCAGGGCAGGGCATCTGCTGTCTACAGGGTTGTGCTGCTAATAGTGATGATAATAGTAGCATGGGTAGCAGCAGTTCCTCCCTTGGCCCCTTCCCTGCCCTGGATGTACCTCCTGTAGGCATGAAAGAGGAATGCAGTCTCTTTAACTCCTGTGGCCTCTCCTGAGGCTGCCTGCCAGGGCGACAGTGCATGCCACTTGCACGGATGTCCTCTATGAGGTGGGTGAGGAGCAGGCGATTGCCACCCTTGCTGGCTCCTCCAGACCGAGGCTGGCCCCCTCAAAAGATTCAGACATGAAAGGCTCTGTGTGTCACAAGAGCTCCTTGCCCAGCCAAGCAATGCTTCCAGATGCCACACAGTATGGGCCCTTCTTCCCAGGCACCGAGGTGGGACATGCAGTCAGCCTGTCCTCAGAGATCCTGGGGAAAGTCACGCCAGCCCTCTGCTGCCTTCCTGGCCTGGCAGATTAAGGGGAAACACCCTCAGCCCTTGTCACAGGACAGTGGGCAGGGCCTGCACTTGTGGAGGGCTCTGGTCAGGCTGGTTGTTCTGAAAATCTGCTGAGATTCCTCATCAATCCCCTTGCTCAGGGCCTGGGGCAACATGTAGGGGGTGCACATGCAACCCCTGTGCATGGTGGTGTACCCCCTGCAAAAAGGCACCACCGACACTTGGTGGCATCTGCAGGCAGTCACCGCTTGCCACCCTGCTGGCAGCACCGTCTGTGGGCAGTCCCTGATTGCCCCTGGCTGCTGCCGATGCTGCCGGCGGCACCTGCAGGTGCTTGCCGACCTGTGGTCAGTGCTCGCCACACCTCCTCCCCACCGCCAACAGTGCTGTGGGAGCTCGCCGCCAGGCTCCCACCACTGCCAGTGAAGCCATGCCGCTGCAGCCACCAGGGACACACGTTGTTCATACTAAGGGTGGTGGGGAGGCACAGCCCAGGTATAAGTCCTTGCAGGTGACTGTTCCCATCTCTCCTTCTGCCACGATGTTCCCAGGCTGCCATGCCAAGCACACCTTCTGCGACTCCAGCCCCTGCAAGAATGGTGGCACCTGCTCGGTGGGCTGGGGGACCTTCTTCTGCAAGTGCCCCGTGGGCTTCGGGGGCAATGACTGCCGGCAGGGTGAGTGCACACTGTGGGTGGTGGGGGGAGGGCAGCTGGGTGGGCACAGATGGGTGTGCAGTGGGCCAGTAGGCAAAACCTGCAGGCAGGGGCCCCATGGTATTCTGTCTGAGGCGGAGCTCACAGGTACAGGATGACTGTGCCCCTCATCTGGGGTCAGAGCAGGGGCCCCAACTATGTGAAGTCCCCTGCATGGGTGTGTGTGTCCTGTGAGGGGGGGTCTGGTTGCCCTGACAGCGGGTGCAGGAGAGAGCCCTCCACGGTCCTCATGCTCCTGCTTTCCCTTCCAGTCATGCCCCATGCTCACTATTTCCATGGTAACGGCCTCCTGTCCTGGGAGTTTAAGAGTGAGGTGAAGATCTCGGTGCCATGGTACGTGGGACTGGCATTCCGCACCCGCCAGCTGGATGGGGTGCTGCTGCAGGCGCATGCCGGCCAATACACCACCCTTCTCTGCCAGGTACCCAGCTCAGAGGGACGCAGGGCTGGAGGGAGGGAGCCTGCCCTTTGGTAGCCTAATGCACAGCCTCTGGGGCAGCTGCTGCAGCTCAGGCTGGTCAGGGGCAGGCTCCTTGACTTACTTTTCAGCTTTGGGCTCTGCTCAGTGGGATACAGGGGATGCTAGCCAGGTGGAGAGGTGGGGTGTCCCCAGCCTGGCTGTGGGTGGTCCTTTGAGGAGGGCTCCTGGCTGACATGGGAAGGGCAGGACAGGGAGTGATGTGAGCTGTCTTGGGCCTTGCTTACCACTCCTTCCCTCACCCTCAGCTGGATGCAGGCCTGCTCTCCCTCGTGGTGAACAGGGGCTCTGGCCGCACCACCAAGCTGCTTCTGGACCAGCTGCACCTGAGTGACGGGAAGTGGCACGACGTCCAGCTGGAGCTGCGGGATGTTCACAACGGACGGGACTCACGCTACATCATTACTGTCAACCTGGACTTTGGGGTCTACCAGGTCTGTGCTCTCCAGATACTGGCAAGGGGGTGTCTCAGAGGTGGCACCAGCAGTGGAGGGTTGGGAGGAGGGCATGTGAGGGCCCGGCTGCCAGCACTGGGCTCCCTTGCAGGTGGTTATAAGGTGCCTGTCAGCCTCCCTGTGTCTCCTGCTGACCTCTGGGAGGGAGCTTGGTGCCTCTGAGACCCTGCACCAATCCCCATGTACCTGGCTGGGTCTCTTCCCACAAGGCCTGCGGGGAGCGGGCGATGACCAGGGTGCCCTGCAGATCCAGACTGCGGGCAGCTCCACCTCACGCCCCCCCTTCCGCAGGACACCGTGGTTGTGGGGAATGAGCTGCATGGCCTGAAGGTGAAGCATCTCCATGTCGGGGGGATCCCGGGGCCTGGCGAGGTGCAGGGTGGTCTGAAGGGCTGCGTGCAGGTGAGTGCTCAGAGCCACCTCCAGGGCTGCTCTGTCTTGTGCTTCTGCCCGGACAGCTCTGCGTGGAAGCCTTGGGGCAAGGGAGGGCAGTGGATAGCAGCAGCCTGGCAAGGTCCAGAGCACCTGGGAGTGGTGGTGAGGGAGATAGGTCAGGCTTGCTGGCCTGGCTGGGACAGTCATGCCAGTCCCAGGCTTTACTACACGTCTTGCTGGGTTTCAGGGCGTGCACCTTGGGGACTCACCCACAGGGCTGGCATTGCCCAAGCCCAGCAGTGCCCTGAATGTGGAGGCAGGATGCGGCGTGCCCAATGCCTGTGATGCCAGCCCTTGCCCAGCCAACAGCATCTGCAGGGATGAGTGGCAGAGCTACTCCTGCACATGCCAGCCAGGTAGGGCCCTGCCTGCTTCCTGCCCTCCTCCCCTCCACTCCTACCCATTGCATGTCCTTTCCATTCCTCTCTTCACACCTTTCCTCTGTGCCTGTCTTGTATCCTCTCTCCTGTCAGCTGTGCTTGGGGCCCTTCACAGCACAAGGGAAGCACCTGACATGAGTCATAACCTTGGGCCCCTCCAGGAAAACCCCTGTGAGAAGCCAGGTTTACTTGGCTCAGCAGAGAGCCCCCACCCTATGACTCACCTCCATCAGCTCCAGCCTCTCCTTGCCTGTCCTGTGGCTGCCATCACTTCTTTCTGACAGCATCCGCTGTGTCCCCACAGGGTACTATGGAGGGGACTGCGTGGATGCCTGTCACTTAAATCCCTGCAAGAACAAGTCAGTATGTCGACGACGGCCAGGCGCCCCCCTGGGGTATGTGTGCGAGTGCAAAGGGAACTTCTTTGGGCAGTACTGTGAACACAGGTGAGTCCTGGGTAGCTCAGAGCCATTTTCCCCTGCCCCTGGGGTTGGGTCTCTCTCTCCACTGGGAGGCTCCCAGAAGGGTGCTGAAGCCCAGGCCAGGGATCAGCTTCAGCTGGCCTGGGCTCCTCTGCTGTGTTGTCACCAGCCTTTAGCAGGGCAGACACCAAGGAGAGGGGGGTGATGTCAGGTGGGGACTGAGGTGAAGAGTGAGAGGGCTGGGCACTAGGTGCTGGTCCCTGTTGTTCACAACCTCTCCCTGTTTCATATGTCTATGAAATCCTATGCTCTCTCCATGGAGGCAGGGTTCCCCCTTGGGCTGCCCCTAGGGTGCGCTCAGGCCCTGCCCCACAGCCATTTCAGGAGTTGCCCCCCCGCCCTCATTGTTCTGCCCTTTTCTAGGGGCTGCTGCAATGCCCAGCAAGCCCCTGCTCTGTCCTCCTTCGGGGTGAGTCTGCTGCTTCCCCTGCTGCGCTAGCCTGGAGCCTTGGCCAGGCTGGGCGGCTTTGTTCTCCACTCTGAGCACGATGACAGCTGCTGGCAAGTGTTGAGCTGGGCATTGAGGGGAGGGCCTCAGGTCACCATGGGTTTGTGTCCCAGGATGGACCAGCAGTGTCCCAAAGGCTGGTGGGGGAACCCGACCTGCGGGCCGTGTAACTGCGACATCAACAAGGGCTTCGACCCTGACTGTAACAAAACCAATGGGCAATGCCACTGCAAGGTAAGGAGCCACAACCTACCCTGTCCTGCCCTGCCCTCTCCTGGACCCTACATGCAGCCTCATGCCCTGTCCACCCCCGCACCCTGGGTTCCTCCTTCCCCTGGCACTGAGGGTTGGCACTTGTCCCTCCTGCCTTTGTCAGGCTGTCTGGGGTGTGTTGCTGTGCCCCCTGTCCTGTGATGGCCTTGCAGCTGTCATGAACAGATGACCTGCTAGCTCCCAGGATCCTGGGAGACTCCACCTCGGTCTGCTGGGGAGGAGCTGAGCTCCCTGAGTGCCCTGTGTCCCCTCAATCCTGCCCAGCACTTCCATGTCACCTCCTGCTCAAGCCCTGGGCAGGGCAAGGTGCTATGGCTGGGGAGACTTGCATGCAGTCTCCACCTGGGCTGCTGTGGGCAGAGTCCTACTGTAACAACCCTCCGCCCCCATTATCTGCTCTGCCCCTGCTTCCCTCAGTTCTGCCTGTGCCCTCCTCTTCCCCATGGGCTCTCCGGGCCCCTCTTCCTCCCCACAGGCCATTCTCTTTGCTAGCTGTACTGACAGGCCTCTCTTTGTCCCCGCCACTCCCCTCTCTGCACCCCAGCTCTCTAACTGCCTTCCCTGCCACTCTCCCATCTCCTGCAGGACTTCCATTATCGGCCCCAAGGCAGTGACACTTGCCTGCCCTGTGACTGCTACCCTGTGGGTTCCTCCTCACGCTCCTGCGACAAGGACTCGGGCCAGTGCCACTGCAGGTCTGGTGTGATCGGACGCCAGTGCAACAGCTGCGACAGCCCCTTTGCAGAGGTGACACCAAGCGGCTGCGAGGGTGAGTTGGGAGCCCCTGGCCTGAGTCCCACCCCTGGATCAGGACAAACCTGGCTCTGGGTGCTTAGGGAGAGTCATCCAACTCCTGTGCCCTTTGTTCATGATTCTTTTGATGAGGCACTTAGTTGCAACAAGCTCCCTCCCCCATGCAACCCATTAACTGCAGCATCTCTGTTCCCACTGGCAGTGCTCTATGATGGATGCCCCAAGACGCTGAGAGCGGGTGTCTGGTGGCCGCAGACCAAGTTTGGCTTCTCAGCCCTGGTGCCTTGTCCCAAAGGTTCCTTGGGTAAGTGATCTGGGAGTGGGGGGTGCTTAGAGGGACCCCTGGCAGGAGTCCTGGAAGGGGCCCTCTTCCTAGGCTGACTGAGGAGGCATGAGCTCTTGCAACAACCCTCCCCCAGCCCATGCTGGGTCGCTGCAGGCCAGAGCTGTGAGCAGGGCAGATCATCTGAGCTGCTCCTGCTGTTCTCATGTTTGGAGCAATGGGCTCCTGTTTCTGTGGGCTGGGAAGAGTGGGGAACGGTCATTTGAGAGGGAAAAGCACTGTCCTTGGAAATGGAGCATGGAAAGAGCTGTGAGAGTGGAAGGGCCTCTATGAACTCTGCTCCAGATGCCTCTGTGGGGCCTCTCAGTGGGATCCAGGCTGTGTGACAGGAACAGCCCAGGGGCTGAACCCAGGCAGGGGCATGGGGCTCTTGGGAGCCAGGCTCAGAGCAGGCCCAGGATTTTCTTCCCCACAAAAAACAGAATGGGCCAAAAGACCCTCCTTAGATCTTGAATCCTTCTTCCTTGCCCATCAGTGCAGCGGGTGGGACAGAGCAGAGGTGTCTGGCACTGCACCCAAAGTCCTGCCAGCTCCTGGCTTCAGTAGTCTGGAGCCAGGGGGCGTGCTCCAGAGAAGGGCCCTGCTGTCCTCAGGGTCTTGGAGCTCAGCCTTAGTGGAGAGTGAAACTCTTCCCAGCCAGCAGAAGGGCAAAGGAGTACGGGGTCCATGGCCTGAGATGCAGGAGGCATCCAGGAGTCTCGCTGTGTCCCTAGAGCCCCGGGCAGTTCTGTGCCTGGGAAATGCTGTGCCAACAGGGTGGCCAGCACCAATCCCATCCCTCCTCCAGACACCTGCCGGGAGGAAGTTGTTCCTCTCCCCCATGGCTCCTTCCACTCCTAACCGTGTTGCTTCTCTTCCCCATTTTCTCTCCCGCCTGATCAGGGTTGCGGGGTGCAGGTAAGGACCCGTTCCCTTCCCTGCGTGTTGCAAGGGCTGCTTTGCGTGGCTTTCCATTCCCTGCTCCCTGCCTGGCACCCCCATGGTTCCTGCGCTTTCCCTGATGCTTCCAGAGCTGCCAACCATGTTACTAATGCTGTACCTTGGCCCTGGCTTCCCTGTACCGCTGCCTGCCCTCAACCACTCTTCCTTTCCCCAAGAAACCTAACCTACAGAAACCCCCGCAGCCAGGCATTGCCCTGCTACCGTTCTGTCTTGCTGCCTTTATGTTGCTGTAGAGGGCTGGAACTTGGAGGTGCTGCTTTTGCTGTGCTCAGGGGGCTGCTTGCAGGTGGCTCATGGCTTCAGCTGCTAGAGCACTGATGGGGGTTGGCTAAGAGGGCTCAGGACAACAGGGAGAGGCAGGTGGCTGCTGCTGCCACCTGCAACATGACACCTGCTTTGGGAAGGGAGCTACCCCAGTGGCCATCAGAGAGGGAAAGAAGGGAAGAGGAAGTGGAGGGGCTTTGGGCAGACATAACATGGGGGAAAGAGGAGGAACCCATTTGGACCAGTCAGGTTGAAGGCAGACCTGGCAGAGAGAGAGGTGCCTCCAGGCACAGCTACCACAAACAGCAGGGAAAGGAACGTGGCTGGCAAGCACGCTTCAGGTGTCCCGGCTGCTACAGAAGAGTTCTCTGTGCCTGGTAGACTAGTTCATGGCTCTTTGGCCAGGCCAGCTGTAGACCTCTGCACCCCATGGCCTGGTTTAGCATTGCCCATGGTCTTGGAAAAGCAAAATGCTGTCAGCTGGCATCATGCCCCAGGTGTCTCATCACCCTCCAGGATGGCAGAGACCTGTCTCTCGTTAGTTCCTTTGGCAGAGGAATCTGGTTTCCACGCATTCTGCAGGATCCTTCCAAAACTACAGGGACTCTAGAAGGCTTCCCAGACTGCTCGAGAGAGGTGGGGGAAGGTATTGTTTGGCTGAAATAAAGGCAACATACAGAGAAAAAGTGAGCATACTGTGTGGCCCTAGCCTCCAGGACTGAGTGCTATCTGCCCTTTCTGGCATTGATGCTGTTGTTGATAGCACTGAGGAGAAGAAGCCTTCTGGGAAGACAGGGGTGATGGGGTTAGTGGAGGATGAGCAGGATGGAGAATGCCTGCTAGGTTGCTCAGAGGACCTTCTTGAAGCTACAAGATCCTGAAACCCAGTCCTGACTCCCCACTGACTCAGATCCTGGGCAAGTTGCTTCCCCTGTCTGAGCCTCCCACAGACACAACAGCATGGATCCACTCACCTCCCCAGAGGCACAAGAGTTGTTAGCTCTAGGACATGGCTCCCATAAGGACTGCATGCAGATGAATAGCTGACACCACTGAGGGTGATGGCACGTGGTGGGCTACTGGCCATGTCATTGGAGTGCATGGCATTGGTGTTGGCCTCCATGGCTCAGTCGGTGCTGTGCTCACTGGGCTTCCTCAGGGCCTTTTTATATGTATTCCAGGGGCATCCAGAGCTGACTTGACCATGGTCAGAGCTTCCCTGTGTTAAACGAAAGACCAGAGACCTCAGTATCAGAGACCTTGTCTGTACTAGGGTCAGTAAGCTGGCTAATTTACCAATCAAATATTGTTAGGTGACTGGTCAATTGACTGCATATTTTTTGACTGGTCAAAGATTATAAGAATTTTACAAAAAACCTACATTTTTGGTGTTTTTTTGACAGAAATATGCTTTTTGGTTGCTTTTGACACATTCGTAGTGGAAAATTTGTGCTTTTTCTGTCTATTATGTGGACCTGTTGGCAGTTTTTTACAGTTTTTGACCAATATTTAACCGGTCAATTGACTGAACTTTATTTGACATGTCAAATACCCAACCTTAGTCTGTACCAGCATCACTGCACCAGTCTGACCATAAGGCTATCATGATACTGGTGTAGCAGGGCCAGGAAGCCTCCCTGTGGGGAATTCTCTCTCAACATGTCAAATACAAGGCAGAAGAGAAAGATGTGGTGGTATCTGAGCAATGGATGAGGTGCAGGTGTTTCAGTGAATAAATGGATCTGGCCAGGCAGGCTGTGCTATGTTGGTCATATTGTTAGTCCCCTTCAGGGAGGCACAGACCCCTCCATCACTATTCAGGGGTCCTTGGGCCTGAGTCCCAGTGATGCTGACTGGTGTTGCTCACTCCTGACTCTCTTTTCCCAGAGTCAGTCATACCACCTGATACAGGAGACCGGTTGTGTGTCACAACTGGAAAAAACCTGGGGGCAAGTGATTGTGGGCAGTCCTCAGTCTGGCGGTGACTTGTCCCAGCTGATGAATGAATGGCTACAGAACCTGGCAGTATTCACAGAAAATCAGGGCTCCCTCTAATGCAACGTGGGTTGGGGTCCCAGTGGATAGCTCAGCTGGCCTGGCTCTGAGGAGGCAAACACCACCTCTTGATGTTAGTGACAGAAGCAGCAGGTTGGCTCTGGACATGACGCTCTCCTTGCAGGCTGGGAGGTGGGGACTCTGGATTCAAACCCCTGACCTTTGCATCTCCTTTCAGGTTCAGCCATCAGACACTGCGATGAGAGGAAAGGCTGGCTGGAGCCAGACCTCTTCAACTGCACATCGCCTGCCTTCAAGGAGCTCTCTGCACTGGTAATCTGCACTCTCCTTGCACAGGGCAGCAGCTGTCTGCCAGGCTCTTGCCCTGAGCAGCTAGATTCTCAACAGTGCTTGAGGCCAGATGTTGATGAACTCTGCTCTCATGCTGACATCTAAAGGGGAGCTGGAGTTTCCTAAGGGCTCAGCACCCAGCAGCTCTCCTTGTGACATTTCTGGACAGGTTTTTCACTGAGCACCGTTGTGACAAACTTTTGGGAAAATGTGGCTGACAATTCCAGGAAGGTAGCAAGGATCAGATTATTCCCCCTCCTTCTTTCCACCATCCACAGAGAGTTGACACAGCTGTGCTCGCCCTCCTGCCCCATTCAGCCTGCTGTCAAAATGAATGAAGACTACCTGATCGTTAAGATGAAATGATGAATCTTTAAGTTCACCTGACAATTCAGTTTCCAGGCATCTGGGCATATTATCACTGCTGGCTTTTTAATTTGCACTCTGCGCATGTCTGTGAAATTCTTTTACCCATCTGGGGAACCTCCTTTGCTTCTAATTTTTTATTTCCTTCTAATCCACTGTTCTGTCCCAGGGAAATGAGCCCTCACAAATCAACAGCTGTGGGTTGTCTGGGGGTCCAGATTACTGTGCTCTCCTGCTCCAAAGCCAAGTAACCGGGCATGGAACAGCTGAGAGTCAATGATAACATCAGATGCAGGACTTGGACTGCCCTGGTTATTTAGTCTGCCTCTGTCAGCAGTAATACTGAAAATTCTTGTAACTGGATGAGATTGGAGAGGCCAAAAAAGAAGTAATAGGTGTTCTTTCTTCCAGGTTCTTGATTTTGCACCCAGTGGCTTTAGCTAACATAGCCACTTTCGCTGTGTTTGTGGGCAATTTCTCAGGAGAAGAGTAAGCTATGCCCTGTGGAACAGGAAAATGCAGTAGTCAAGTAGCCAGGGCAGGTCAGGGCACATGAGGAAGCACAGCACTAGAAACATGGTTTTGTCATTGTCTAGACTCCAGGTTGATGGTGTCTCTTTAACTACCAGATCCGTCTGCATGATCCAAGTGCCTCTGTCATCAGGGGTTTTGTGTCTTCCACAAGAACAGTTTGCAAGTGCAAAGCTAGCCAGCTGTCACTGCAGGCAGTGCCTAGTCTCAGACCTGCCACTGGCCTGGTGATTGTGCCTGGAGAGAACCTTTATACTGCCTATCTCCCTGGTTTCCAAGATGGTCCCCAAGCTTGGCTGGACTTGCTGGGCATCAGGCCCTGCTCCCCTTTATCCCAGGGTTTTCTGGGGCTGGAGTGATGCAGCCACAGCATGACTTGGCAGTACTTGATCTCCTCTCCTTCCTCTCTGCTGGCAGCTGCAGGGCCTGGAGAGGAATGAGACAGAGCTGAACACCATCGAGGCGAAGAAGCTGGCCCTTCGGCTGCGCACAGTGACTGACCAGATGGAGCGCTACTTTGGCAATGATGTCCACATCACCTACCGCCTCCTGACCCGCCTGATGGATTTTGAGAGCAGGCAGCATGGCTTTGGCCTGACTGCCACCCAGGATGCCCACTTCAATGAGGTGAGTGCCAGGCGCAGTGGAAGGTGGCCTGTACTTCCCTGGCCAAAGGCAGCAGAGCCTATCAGTGCTGTTCCAGGACCAGCCTCAGTGCAGCTTCTTAGGTAGATTCTTGCCGTGTCTCATCCCACCCTGCCCATCACTCAGCCTGTGGCGGGTTCTTCCTCACTGGGGTAGGGGACTGGCCCTGCTGCTTTGCTCAGTCTGTTTGTTATTAAAGGAGTTGGATGCTTCAGGGAGCACTGGGGAACTCAGGGGCTGAAATGAAACCAGTGCTTCCCAAATAGTGGCCCACTGACTGCTGGCAGTCCATGAGGCCGTGGCACATAGCCTGCAGATCATGCCATGTGCCCACTTTTCAACTACATGCTTGCTGACAAGGGTTCAGAGTGGCCCATAAAATACTGGTGGGAGCAAGTGAACCAAGAAAAGGATGATGGAGACTCTCTAGGAGGAAACCCTTTCTGATGCTGAGAAGGTCCAGGGTCTGGGATCTTGTCTCAGTGAGAGCAGGAGAGTCTCATGGGGGCTGTGCTTAGGTGTGGACCCAGCTCTGGAGAACAGAGCATCCCAAACACCCCGGCCTTCCTGGACCAGGAGCTGCCAGCAGGTCACTTGGTGGGGGAGCTCAAAGAGAGGCATTTCACACTCAGGCTTTCTAAGGACTCTGCCTTTTGGGTCTGTCTGCAGAACTTGTTGCAGGCAGGAAGCTCAGTGCTGGCACTGGAGAACCGTGAGCACTGGGACATGCTGCTGCAGAGTGAACACGGCAGCGCTGGGCTGATGGAGCAGCTGCGAGAGTACACGGGCACGCTGGCCAGCAACATGAAACTCACCTACCTCAACCCCGTGGGCGTGGTGACGCCCAATATCAGTGAGTAGGCGGTGGCTGGGAGTAGTGCCAGGGCAGGGGAGGAAGCCCTGACACCTAAGACAAAGGGCTAACAGAGGTCAAAAGGATCAGCTGAGACCAGTGTCATGTCTCCACACCTGAAGTGGGGGCGTGTCAGCTGGCGAGCAGGAAGGGTGAGCTTTCCTTTGACTCAACAGTGGAGCGTGATGCTGTTGGAGGGGCTTCAACTAAGTAGGTATCCCCCTCTCTGGGGACCACACACACTTCCATGGATGTCTGCAGGAGTTGGGGACCAGGGACAGTTAGCCTGAGTCTCCTGGCTCAATGGCAGTAATTCCAGGCCAGCTGTGATCTGTGTCCCCAGCAGTGTCACTTGGAGAAACCAAACACACCTGCCAGTCAGTAGCCGGGCAGGGGCTGGGCTCCTGGGATGTACCTCCTCTCCAGACAGCCCCTGTTGGTAACTTCACAGGCAGCTGCTGGGGAACACCAGTTCTCTCCCAGGAGCACTGCTCCCTCCTGGTTATTCCCTGTAAACCCTTGAGTAAAATGTCTGCTCACCACAGCTCTGGGCAGCTCCTCCCAGGTCATAGCCTAACAGAAGGGGCATCCCAGGAGGGCTCCACTGGCTGGAGAACAACCGGGTATGTCAGGATGGTGCCTTCCTGCTTGACATGTCTGTGGGTTTGGCATGTGCATCCACACATGGTCCCCTCACTGTGTGGTCATGGCTTGGGGGGGACGTGCAGTGGGGAGGGGGTGCGCACATCTCACAGAGATAGGACTCAAAAGTTCCCACTCACTTCAGTTGTGGCCTCAAGCCCACTGCAACGTGCCATCCCAAACTAAAAAGCCAATGCATTAACCCTGGCTAGGTCCTCACACTGTGACATCCGATCCCTCACACTTGGCCCCCAAACCGAGCAGCCCAAGGTCCTGACTCTTCTTTTGCTCCCCACGCAGTGCTCAGCATCGACCGCATGGAGAACCACACCCATGTGCGGAGGCGCTACCCCCGCTACCACAGCAGCCTGTTCCGGGGTCAGGCCCTGTGGGACCCCCACACCCACGTAGTGCTGCCGCTTTCATTGCTCACCCCCCTCAAAGCAGAAGGTAAGCAAGTGTCTGCCTTGAGCCCCCTAGCCCCAGCCTGGCAGGGACCAGGGCTGCTCTGCTCAGGGCTGCACTGCACAAAGGGCACAGCAGTGCCTGGAGCTCAGTCCTGGCTGCCTGATTCTGTCTGAGTCTTTTCCACAGCACCCCCCCGCCCACACCACCAAGTCAGAGGGCCACTGGGCATCCTCACATGCCTCACCCTAGAGGCTCATATAGTTCTTGATGGGGCCTAGGCAGGAATGATCAGGGCCAGGCTGGCAGGCAGCTCCATCTGACTCAGTAGCCTCAAGCCAGCAGGAGCTGGGAGCCTGCCCAGTCCCTGAAGGAAGGAAGCATCTTACATTACTCTTATGGTTGTTGCTGAGACTATGCTAGACTCTGAAGGGCCTTCCTAGGCTCACAGGAGGCTGCCCTGCTGCACAGCCCCAGAGAGCAGCATCCAGGGGACAACTCCTGGTCCCTGGAGAGTAGCTAGGGTAGGAGAGGGAAGGGGCCGTGAAGCTCTCGGGGCTTCTCAGCACTGCCCCAGCTAAGGCAATGGGTTTTACCTACTCTCCTTTTCCAAGAGGCACCTCTGTGTCTGCAGCATCGTGCCTAGTGAGACAGCCTGAGGTGCCTGTCCTCACTTCCACCGGGCCCTGTGCTCTGTTCAGGACATGCCCAGACACCAGTCCCTTCTTGATTTGTGTGTCTGACCTGCGCTCCATCCACAGCGGTGCCGACACCTGCAAGCAGTGAAGGGAATGACACAATGTGGACCTCACCCCCCAGGCATGCCCTCCCAGATCCTGAGCCCGCTGTCACCATCATCATCCTCATCATCTACCGCACACTGGGGGGGCTGCTCCCTGCCCGCTACCAGGTGGATCGCCGCAGCCTCAGGTACCACCTGCTGCACAGTCCTCAGTGTGGCCAGCCTGCTTGTGCTGGGGTAGACTGCAAGCCAGCCAGGTGCTGCCAGCCATGCAGGGACCAAAACTTGGACTCCTTGCTGCTTGCTTGCTGGCTGAGCCAAGCTGCCTGGTGGCCTGTGCAAAAGAAGCCGGGGTCCCTGCCTGGGTCCCAGGGTGTGGGTGTCTGCATTGTTAATGCCATTCACACAACTGGCATTGGTTGCCCCCATGTGGCAGCTTTGAAGAGAAGACCAAGGACTGGGGAGACCTCAGGGAGCTGGCTTGAGGCAGGGCTGAGTCTGGCTGAGTCTCCATCAGTCTCTCTCATGGGCACAGAGATGCCTCCAGCTCTGGCACTGCCACTCTCTGGGGAATGGCCTGGTAAAAGCCCAGCTTCGTGATGAGGTCCCTGTCGTCTCTTGCAGACTGCCCAAGAACCCCGTCATGAACTCCCCTATCGTGAGTGTGTCCTTGTTCAGCAACCACACCTTCATCCAGGGCACCCTGGAGGCACCGCTGGTACTGGAGTTTCGCCTGCTGCAGACAGCCAACCGGAGCAAGCCCCTGTGTGTGCAGTGGAACCACTCCAGCCTGTAAGTGCCCCGCCGGTGTCCAGGGCCGGCACAGACTCCCCCACTGGGTGTTGCCCAAAGGAGTTGACTAGTTCCCTGCCTCTCCCTCACTGCCATTGGTGCTGTGAAATCCTGCTAGTGAGGGTGTGGTGGAGGAGCAGTGGGGAGTGGAACTGGCTTGACATGGCACTGTCTTCAGGGGCAAGGGGATTTGCACCTGTGTGCTGTGAGTGGAACTGGCACATGGCCATGCCCTTGCCACACCGGGTGGGGGTCACCAGCCTCAGTCATCCCTGCACCCTTGCACCTCCACATCTGGAACCTTGGAGAAATGACCCCTCCCAGCAGCCACAGGGTCCCTGAGCTGTAAGGCAGGTGCCCAGCAGGGTGTGACCCTCCCACCCCCGCTGGCTGCCTCTTCATGGTAGGAGATGTGGTGTGGAAGACTGGATCCTTTCAGAGTGCTCTGTGTTGTCTGGTTGCTGCAGGACTGACCCTTCTGGCTTCTGGACAGTGAGAGATTGTGACCTCGTGTACAGGAACACCACACATGTGCACTGCCAGTGCTCCCAGTTCGGGACCTTTGGGATCCTCATGGACAGCTCCCACCGAGAGGTAAGCCAGCCTCTGCAGAGGGGGAGGGCAGGGGCTGAGGTGGGATGCTGGGAAGGGCAGGCCAGAGTTATGAGCCATACAGTTGCAGGTAGTATCCATTGCACAGGTGTCAGAGAGAGTCCCAGATTGCTTCTCTCTTTGGTGTCCTAAAGAGAGAGGGAGAGAGAGAGAGACACCTTGGAAGCCTGCACATGCCAAGTGTCTTCCATCCTAACTCTGAAGCTTGTTTCTGACTTTCTTCTGCAGCAACTGGAGGGTGACCTGGAGACCTTGGCCATTGTCACCTACTCCCTGGTGTCTCTGTCCCTCGTGGCTCTGCTGCTGACCTTCTTCTTGCTGACATGTCTGAAGGGCCTCAAGTCCAACACCCGGGGCATCTACTCCAACATAGCTGCCACCCTCTTCTTCTCTGAGCTGCTCTTCCTCCTGGGCATCAACCGCACTGAAAACCAGGTGAGGGGCAGGAGTCAGCCCTTGTGCAGCCAGGCAGGAAGGAGCCATCAGACCAGGGAGCTACGGAGGGGCCTGCTGGCTAGGGGAGAGTTCTGGGGAGTGCTTTGTATGGAGAACTGGTCAGAATGGGGGGCACTGGAAGGAGGAGCCCTGGAATGAGCTTGCCCAGTGGGATGCCCCAAGGTCTTCTGGAAGTAACAAGGAAGAAAAGGAGATTTGGACTGGAAGGAATTCCCCCCCCGCACAAATGTCCTTGTTTGTTAAACCGCATCCATCCTTTCTGGGCTTTATGACAAGATTCTCATCAGAGACTCAGTCTCTGTTGCCCCCCGGTCCTGCCCTGGTGCTGGCCCAGGTGTTGAGTCCAGGTACAGACTCAAGGGCACTGAGGGTAGCTGGTGGGACAATGAGCTGCCACCTCTAGAGGATGTGGTCCCTCCCTCCCAAAAGCAAAGATTGTGCTGGTGGCAGGAGAGATTCCCAGAGCCAGGATGGGAGAGCTTCAAGGTCTGAGCTCCAAGCGTCTGCCTCCCTGAGAACATTGCTCAACCCCTGTCCAAATCTCCTACTAACAGATGGGGGAAATGACTGGAGCCAGGCTGCAACTGAGTGAGAAGGTGGCTCATTCCAGGCTTTGCTGTTTCCTTTGGGTCCTGATTTCCAGCCCCTGTCTAGAGGAGTGGGACTAGCAGCCTGGACCAGAGTTATCCAGTAGTTAGAGCAGAATGGGGCCCTTGGTGTGCTGCAGAGGTGGCATTCCTGCAGTAAGAGAGGACCTGGCAAGGAAGTGCCTCCCCCACCTTGGACAAAAGGGGCCATTCTGGGGGCTCCTTCTGAGCACTGATCTCTTCTCTCAGTTCCTCTGCACTGTGATTGCCATCCTGCTGCACTGCTTCTTCCTCTCCACCTTCGCCTGGCTCTTTGTCCAGGGCCTCCACATCTACCGCATGCAAACTGAAGCCCGCAACGTCAACTTCGGGGCCATGAGGTTCTACTATGCCATTGGCTGGGGGGTGCCTGCCATCATCACAGGTAGGTGCTACCTATTGGGGAAGACAGGTGCCTGCTTGGAGGGAGGTGGGAAGTGGCTTGGGCCTGGGGTCATGCTAAGAGCATGCTTAGAATCTCCTTCTGTCAGCCCTAGCTGTGGGAGGAGCACCGTGCAGGTTTCCAGGTATTCAGGTACTATCTAGCCAATGAGACAGGTAGGAGGAGATGTGTGTAGAATGTGTGTAGACGTCTGTGGGCATCCATGTTTGCAGCTCTGCATGTGCTTGTGGCTATATGGGAGGAGCATCCCCAGCAGCTCTGCACTGGAGATAGTCAGTGAGCTCCAGCCTGGTGTGACAACCATCTAGGCAGAGATGAAGGCCACATGCATTCATTTCCACTCAGGGCTCATCTCTACTGCTGCCAAGGTCCATCACAGTGAGAAAGCAGCTGAGCAGCCCCCACTCACACCCCCTCTATGTGAGTCCATTGGTGCACACCTGACCAGAAGCTAGCCAGGGAGTACCTGCTTCCAGGCCTGACAAAGACCATGGGTGCAAGAGTGGGCATGGAGAATGAGGCCGGAGCAGCCTGGCTGGTGAACTTCAGGGTCTGGAGAGTGCCTGTGGGCATGGTGGGGAGACAAGTCCTCAGGCCCCCTGGGCCAGGCTCTACTGGTGCCATGGGATAATGAGCCCTTGGTGTTCTGGCAGGGCTTCCAGTTCCCCTGATGTGGAACTCAGTGGTCTCAGCAGCCAGGGTCTCCTTCCTCCAAAACAACCAGCAAGGCCTCTCTCCTGTCCTACTTCAGGATGGGCCTGGAGCTCCTGCCATTCCAGGGTGTGCAGCATTGGGCACAGATGCTCTTTGGATGTTCATCTTCATCTGTATCCCAGGACCTTGTGCTTCTGGCTGCCATGCATGGCCAGATTGGGCAGTTTGTGCCCTGTCCTGGGGCTCTAAAATGGACCCCATTGCAACTGAGCTCCAAGGAGCATTTGAAGGTCGCATCAGCCAGTGCTTGGTCCCTGCTTTGGGTTTCTTTGCTGGAAGAGGCCCTGGAAATGCAGAGCAAGTCCAGGCAGCTGTGCTTGGAACTGAGCCATCCCTTCCCTCTCCTCCCCTCCCCAGGACTGTCAGTTGGCCTGGACCCTGAGGGCTATGGGAACCCTGACTTCTGCTGGATTTCCATCCATGATAAGCTGGTCTGGAGCTTTGCGGGCCCCATCACCATCGTCATTGTGGTAAACTCTCACTCTCTTAATACCTGCCAAGCCCCTGTTCTGTGCCAGGCATCTTGGCCTCTTCCCCTCTTGCTCTTTCCCAGGTTTCTGCTGGCTCTTCCACATCATGTCCCTCCCTGTGTAGGTCCTCTCTGCTCCTTCTCCTTTCTTCTCCATGTGCTTCTCCCCGCCTGGACTCCCCTTCTCACCATTCCCCAAGCTCTTGCAGACAGATATCTGTGGAAGAAGCTCAGTTCTGCACAGGGCTGGCTGCTCACCCAGAGTGGCAGGAGGGGGCAGAGAGCACCAGGGCCGGAGCAGCAGAGCAGCCTCTAACCAGTTTCTGCTTTCAGATGAATGGAGTTATGTTCCTGCTGGTGGCAAAGATGTCATGTTCCCCAGGTCAGAAGGAGGCCAAGAAGAAGTCAGTGCTGTGAGTATGGGCTGGTGGGATCCCAGGAGGGCTCACCTACTCTGACCGCCCCCCACTGGGGTTGCTCCTGGCCTTGCTTTTTTTGCTCCAACTGGCCAAACACCCCCTGCCTGCACACTCCCTTCTCCGTCACCGCCCAGACCTCCCTGTCCTTTTTTGTCCAGTCAGCTTTCCTGTCTTGCCTGCTGCCAAGGAAAGCCATTGCTGTAACCCTGTCCCCTTCCCTGGCTAAGCTGACATGACAGCTTCCTCCCTCCAGGCTGGCCAAGGCTGAAATGCATGACTTCACTCCCTGCCTTGCCCTTCCCATGCACCCCCTTGTCTGATACCTTGCACTCCTGCTCCATCCCCATATCTTCAGGGCTCTGCTTCTCTCCTGCCCCTGTCTCCATGCTTGTTCCCTCCTGCTCCTACCCTGCTTTGCTGTCCACTTGTGACCCTCTCCCATTCATCCTCCACTTCTCCTTCCAAGCCACCCTGTAATGCTGGGTCTGCTTCCCTGTCTTGGTGCCAAGGGGCCTGTCTGTGTATGTCTGCACTGTGCTGCTTCTGATTTAGAAAGGAAGTTTCTTGGGTTGGGGACTGCATCATCCTCTGGGCATGGCCAGTGTGCAGCTAAGAGCAGTCAGTACACAGCAAGTGCACTGTGGAGCTGGAGAATACTGCATGTGCCCATGAGCTTTTGGCATGGGAAAGTGGTGCCGAGAGAGAGCCAGGCAGCTGGTGACAGGCGTGTGCTTTCCCCTGTGTTTCTGTCGGAGTGATATTCTAGGTTAACAACACAGTCTAACCTCAGCGTGTGTGTGTGTGTGTGTGTGTGTGCTCGTCTGTCTGTCTGTCTCTCTCTCTCCAGCATGACGCTGCGAAGCTCCTTTGTTCTGCTTCTAGTTATTAGTACTACCTGGCTCTTTGGCCTCTTGGCTGTCAACAACAGTGTCCTGGCTTTCCACTACCTCTACACTGTCCTCTGCAGCCTCCAGGTAACTCTCTGTCCAGCCTCTGCCCAGGGATGACAAGCAGGAGCTCAGGCCCTCCTCTTTCCTCTCCTCCCCTCCCAGGATACCTCCCACTGTACAAGGGAAAGTGAAGGGAAGGGTCAGTCGGATGGAAAGGAAAGTTACAGGGAGATGGGGAGAGGAGGGCAGAAAACAGGGAGTGGGGGACCAATGGTTCTTGCTCCAGCAGGATCCCTCTGTGCCCCCCGCCCTAGTCCTGTACTGCTGTGCGACAAAAGAAATCGCTTCTCCCCAACCCCGTGTGTGCCCTGCTCTGCAGCCCTTGGCTTCCCTGTCCCCCTCCTATGCTGCTCCCTGGCTCAGGCCTGCCTGGCAGTAACCCAGCAGCTCCCAAGCTTTGATCTCTCCCCTCTGAACACTGACACGACTGAGCCAGGTTTGACCCAGCAAGTGACTTGACAGGGGAGATTCCCTTTTTCTCAGCCTTGAGGGACTCAGTGTAGTTAGAGGGTGATGGCCTGTCCCTTGCATTGTGGCAGGCTGACCCCTGGAAAAGTCTATAATGCCTCCAATGTGTGGATCTCAGCTACACAATTTATGGTGATGGGTGATTGCTCTTGGGCTTTCTCCCTAGTCTGCTCCTTCAGCCTTTTGGATAGGGGCAAGTGAGGCTAAGGGGCATCAAACTCCAAGGCCTCCAGACTTGGGGCTTTCATGCAGAATGCTTGTCCTGGGTCCAAGAGTATCTGAAGCTGCAAGTGGAAGAGTTTGGCAGGTAGGATATTTGCTGGTGGTTGTGCCACACAGACTTGAATGGTTGAGCTCTTCTCAGTTGACAGAGTTGGGAACTGATGTGGTTGATTTGGCCCCAGACATGAAATTAAAAAAAAAAAAGGGGGGGTGACCCAGCAAGCGGTGTAGCCCAGATCTCTCCAACCACCTCTGAGGCCAATGGGTGCTGGGCTGTCTTCCGCTCTGACACATGTGCACACCCACTCCTCTTTTCCCTTGGCACACATGCACACATGTTGCTGTTACTAGTGTCACACTCACCAGCTGAGATTGCTGCCTGCTGAAGAGGCTGGTCTAGGTGCATCTCCAACACAAGCCTACCTGAGCTAGGATGAATGGGCCCACTTGGTGCCACCAACAGTTGAACTGTGGCAGTACATTGTCTGCAAGGCCAAGCAGCCTGAGCTCTAAGCCAACCTGCCCCCAGGCCCCAAGCCGGCTCAGGTGTGTTCCCTCGTCAGGGCCTCACGAAGGTTTGCCAGCTGAAAGCAGCCCTGGCCCTACCCTTTGCTAGCAGTTTTCAGGGCACTGGGCCTTTCCATTCTGTCAATCCCTCCTTCCCCTTCATCCCTGACAGCTTCTGCCTGCCTTTAGCTCAAGCTTGGTGCTGTCAGCTCCCTCTTGCTGCTGCCCTCACCCCTGGGCTACCTGCTGCCTCTAGTAGCCATTGTCCTGCCTAGGCAGAGCCCTGCTGAGCTCTGGTGGTAGCACACCCCAAGCAGCCAGCAGCTGCAATCTCTTCTGGGGACACCTGTCAGGTGTTACCCATGCCTGCTCTGAATCAGCTGCCCAAGAAGAGTCTCCCTGAATGAAGAGATGGGCCTGGGTTTGTCATGGGTCTTTGCTCACCTGAAAGCCTGCAGGGATGCTTGCGGACTACAGGGGCTGCATGGAGGCATGAGCTTTGAGCCCCCAGTGCCTGGAATTTGAGTGGCACCTAACTGTCTGCTGTCTGCCCTTCCCAGCCACACCAACCCGGCTGTGCCAGCGTTGCAGCACCCCTGTCCTAACCGTCCCCTCTGGAGTCTGTTACACTGCATTGCTGCAAAGCCTTGTTCTGCTTGGGCTCCTTCCTGGTGCTGGGAGCCCTGACAGCAGCATTGGGCTAGGTCCAGCTGCCAGGGCCCCATGCTGCCCAAACCACCTCTGTTCTGGTTTTCCTCCCCCACCTACCTCGCTACACTCAGGCCACAGTATCTATGCTGCCTGGTCCAGCTGCTACAAATGAGGGGCCCTCCCTGAGAGCTGCTGAGCGGGTAGACTGATGTGGAGAGGCCTTTGTGCTTGCTGGTGTGTACCCAGGTTCATAACCACCCATGCCCTCAGACCCCTTTTGGTCCCCAGCAGCTCTACACCCGAGCAGATCTCCTGGGTTCTGGAGGGAAAGGCGACTGGCTTCTGCAGTGCCCCACACGGCCCTGACCTGTTTCCTCACCCATCTTCCCGTGGGCCTCAGGGAACTGAACCAGGAGGCAGCCCCCTCCAAGAGGGAGTCACTTCTTCCCTCCTCTTCCAGAGACTAAAGAGTTGTGAGGGGCCCTAAACGGCAGCTGGGCAGCACAGGGATGCTTCCCTTGCAGTCCTGCTGCTTGCTACACCCCTGCCATCCAGAGGTGCTTGCAGCGGTGTGCCCAATGCTGGAGAGCCATGTCTGTGTACAGGCAGGACTGACTGAAACAAAAGTCACCAGCTCCTGACAGTGGGCTCCAGGGGAGCAGACTGGAACCAATGGCACATTTGTGAATGGCTCCATGCAGCCCCACCACTTGGTGTGGAGCAGGGGGCTCCAGGAGGTACTTGTGGGCTTCCGCCTCGACACTCCTACTCACAGCTTCCCTTCCCTTCCCTCTCAGAGCTTGGCTGTGTTGCTTCTGTTCTGCATCCTGAACGAGGAGGTGCAGGAGGCCTGGAAACTGGCCTGCCTTGGCAAGAAGGGGCAGGGTGAGGAGGCAGCCAGGAGTGCACAGGTGGGTGACCGAGCAGCTTGTCTTTAGGCTGAATCACCGGGAAAGGGCTGTGTCCTCCTCTCAGCCTGTCTTGCAGCTGCCTGAGGGGCGGTGCCTTCCCTTGGTCATTCCCACTGCTCCAGGGAGGCAGTGTGGGAGGTCCTGAGCCAGAAAGCACCTGAGCAGACAGTTGAGCTCTGCAGCTGGACCAAGCAGCCACATCAGGGTTTAGGTATTGCCAGTCCCAGGGAGCCCTGTGTTCCCATGTGGAGGCATCTGTGCCCCTGGGAAAGAAGGGGACGCCTTGCTGGGCAGAGCCCTGGGGGCTTCTGAATGGGCTCAGGCCCCTGTCCCCTCTCTGTGATGATAGACCCAGTGGGTGGGGGCAGGGTTGTGACACCCAGCTGCAGCAGACAGACTCCTAATGGAGCCTTCACGCCTCTTCCTCACCAGGGCCCCAGTGCATACAACAACACGGCGCTGTTTGAGGAGAGTGGCCTCATCCGTATCACCCTGGGGGCCTCCACCATCTCCTCGGTCAGCAGCGTCCGCTCCGGCCGCACCCACTCCAGCCAGCGTGGTTACCTCAGGTAGGGTGTAGGCTGGCAGGGCATAGCCTGGCAGCAGGGTGGTAGTGAGTCCATGCGTGCATGGCTGTAACATGATGGATGTGGCAGGGTGAGGGGGCTTCTCTCCTCCCAGGCATCGCCTGCCAGCCCTCTGGCCCCTTTATTGTGGATGAGCAGGACTCCTGGGCTTCCCCCAGTACCTCTGCTGACTCCCTTCAGTCCTTGCCCTAACTACCCCTGCTGATCCAGCCCTGGAGCTCAGCCAATCCCCCTCACTCCTGGCTCACAGCCCATTGCTGTTCCAGTCCTGGGCACCCCACGCAGCTCTGCACCTCAGGCCTAGTCCTCAAAGGTCTCTGCCTCTGCGTCTTGTCTTCTTATCCTGGTGCTGATGCCAAGTGCAGAAGATGAGAGGAGAGGGCTGCATTACCTGGAGCACTGCCTGGTAAGGAATCGGGGTCGCAGTCTTGTGCCTGGTGTGTTTCAGAGAGAACATGATGGCACATCAGGGCTCTGCCCTGGATCACAGCCTACTCGGTCACACTGGCCCCACGGACCTCGACGTGGCAATGTTCCACCGTGATGCAGGAGGAGGTAAGGCTGATGCCCAGCCCTCTCACGCTGCTGTGAATGTGGAGGGGCTCCGGACTGCCCCAAAACAGCAGCTGCTGTAACGTGGGGCAGGTCCCAAGCTAGCCCAGAGTCTTTGGAGCATAGGAAAGGCCACGCTGCTTCAGGCTAAAAGTCTGCCAGCCTGTGTCCTGTCTCCCACAATAGCAAATAGTGGATGCTTTAAAGGAAGAGTCCAAGGAATGGGGCGGGTATGGAGCAACCCAGCCCCTGCCATCCCTCCCAGGCTCCAGCAGCAGGTCACATCCCCAACTGCTGTGGTTAACTGCTGTCAGTGGACCTGCCCTCCAAAAGCTGGACCAGTCCCTTTTGGAACCCGGTTATGCTCTTGGCCTTGACAACGAGCGCCACACATGAGGGATGTTTCTCCTTCAACTTTGTGCTACAGGTGTTGGCTCAGAGCACCTGCCCCTACCAGTCAGCCTGCTGGTTCCTGAGTCTGCCCAGACTGTGATTAAGGCAGAAGGGAGCAGCCAGAGTCTCTCATAGAATCGTAGGAAATTCAGGTTGGAAGGGACCTCAGGAGGTCATCTAGTCCAACCTCCTGCTCAAAGCAGGACCATCCCCAGCTGGATCATTCCAGCCAGGGCTTAGTCAAGCTAGGCCTTAAAAACCTCAATGGATGGTGATTCCACCGTCTCTGTAGGTAACTTGTTCCAGAGCTTCCACCCTCCTAGTGAGAAAGCTGTGCCTAATATCCAACCTAAACCTCCCTTGCAGCAACTTGAGACCATTGCTCCTTGTTCTGTCACTCAGCAGCGCCTACCCTTGGGCAGAGGGGAAATGATCTGGCTAGTTACTGGGGGTGAAAACAGGGCAAAGACCCCACAAGATGGGGCTGTGACCTGGGCTCCACTGTGGGCAGTGGCCTGTGGTTTTCAGGGCGAGAGAGCCAGATCAGGGGGTTCAGCTGAGGATGCAGGCAGGAGAACCCTGGAACCCCATCCCACACTGCCCCCCTCCTCTTCCAACCTCCATGTGTCCTGCCCAGATCAAGACTCGGACTCGGACAGCGACCTCTCCCTGGATGAGGAGCGCAGTCTTTCCATCCCCTCATCGGAGAGCGAGGAGAATGTGCGTCTGCGTGGCAGGTTCCAGCGCCAGTTCAAACGGGCTGCACACAGCGAGCGTCTCCTCACCAATCCCTCCAACACCACCCCCAAGGGCAAGTACCAAAGGAGAGTCCTGCCAGATGCTGGGGCCCTGGCAGTCAACCAGGGCCTGGAGTTATGCAGACCTGAGGGTGGGAGGGAAGGGTCTCCTTCCACAGGGCACTTCTGAAGCACCTGCTGTTGATGCAGCATGATGCTTTGCTAAGATAAAATCTAAACCTGATGAGCCCTGGGACTAGCTAAGAGGATCCAGGCCAGGCGGGACTGCAGGAGTGGCAGGGGAATGCCACCTTCTGTCCTGTCTGCTGGTTCTCCCCTGTGAGTCCCACTAGCCTACTGCAGGCTGTGAGGCACGAGCTTGGAGAGGCCTTGTGAATTGACCCCTGTGAGCATCACAGCAGGTCCTGCTCTTCATCGTATCCAGGCATAACGTGTTCTTCCTCCCCTGTGGTCTTGCCCTGCCCCTCCCCAGATGTGGATGGCAATGACCTGATGTCCTACTGGCCAGCGTTGGGCGAATGCGAGGTTCACCCCTGCTCTCTGCAGAAATGGGGCTCTGAGCGGAAGCTGGGATTTGACATCAATAAGGATGCAGCCAACAACAACCAACCAGACCTGGCCCTGACCAGCGGGGATGAGAACTCCCTCACCCAGACCCAGCGCCAAAGGAAAGGTAACTGCGCTGGGCTGGGGAAGGGGGGGGGAGGGGGGCGGCAGGCAGGCGGGCAATTGCCCCAGAGCCCTGCCAGTGCTCCTGGGCGCATACTGTACATCCTATTGACTGCACCCTCAGAGCCTTGCCACACCCTCTGCCCTTGGAGGACTGGCACTGCTTGGGCAGACTGACCATTCATGGCTTCTCTGCATGTCTACTGGCATTAGAAGTGTCTCTGTTCTGGAGATAGTTTCATAGTTGGTAGGGTCGGAAGGGACCTGA